TTATAGCTGAACCACACATGGGTATTAATACTATGATATCGCGTACTGTGTATACCGAACATCAAAAAACACCCTCATCGCCGGAGTCCCTCCTCAATACACCTTGGTTGAACTCTTTGTCGACTCTGTGATCTTCCGGCATTAGCATAGTAATAACGTATATAGCTACCGGTACGCCGGACCCACATGTTGCCCGGAGCTGGGCTCCCGAGCCCAAAAACCGACTGCGTCGAACTCGTGTCAATGCGGGCTCCGGGGGTGTAGGCACCCTAGCGAATTACGTGAGCATCTTAGGGTTACCGTAATCCAACAAAGTTTGCAGTAGCGCCCCTACCGGGCCGGTTCCACAGTTCGGCTCCCCCGGACAATCGTCTCCTCGAGTTGACTGGGCAGAGTTGCTCGAAGGCTCCCACGGGTATCAGCGCGGTATCATGTCCGCATCCAGGAATCAGGGGGCAAAAAACGCCACAGTCGCAAGGTATATGTTGACACCAGTGCCCCTTCTCAATACTGTACCCTGTCAGCATTCGGCTAACTTAGGCCCGTTGCGCGCAAGGGACAAGATTCCTTTTCAGTATGATAAGTGGGCTGGTATTCGTCAAGACTGACCGATCCGATTCAGGGCTCTGGTCATCGGTCCACAGGTTTGTGATATGGTCTGAATTGCATATGTCATGTCGGGCGGATACGCACGGTTAGCTCTGCGGTGCAAATTGTGAATTCGCCATCCCTTGCCTAGACATACCCTCTGCCTTCGGGAAACGGGATAAATCTTGAGCGTCATGTGGGGCGCTTGAAGTCAGTATTTGCCACGATGCTGATTCGGGGTCTATTGTGCTCGTACGGAGGATACATGGTAGCGGTTTTGGGGTCACGTTAGTGATCGCGGAGCCCAAGGGGCCGGTCGCACTGGGGTGCGCACGAGCGGTGGAATGGCTGGTTTATCTCGCAGAGCTGTTTCCTGTCTTTCGATTGATTGATCTCTTGACTGATTGCGGTAGCGTGGGACGATGGGGCAGGTTACTTGGATAAACTGCGACCCCTCTTTTTGAATTGTCGATGCTACTGTCAGCGAGTTCGAACTAGGGTTTTTTTTTTCGGTACAGGGGGCTTTAGGTTTCACCAATATACCTAGCGGAGAAAGTGATTTGAAAATGAGTAGTTTATATCCATGCTTCGATTTGCAAATTTATAGACCAGAGATCGAGACCTGCTTATCTCCACTATCGAGGGTTGTATCGGGTGGTGCGGTACCGTACTTGCGAGTGGTACTCGTACTCGAGTAAATATGATATTCCGGCTCCCAAGGAAAAGGTACGGTACTTCAACAGTGCCTCAGGCCATTCCGAGCTGTAAGAAATCCTGGTCAAACCAAATTAACGAACCGACCAACCAAAATCCACTGGCGACTCTACCGTTACTACTTGTAAGTAAGGATTTCTTGAAAACTGCCGAGGGGACTAAATGCACAAAAAAAAACGGAGGGAAATCACAAGCCCAAAAATGAACAGGGGAGAGAGGAAAGCCTCCTTTATCTGCCGCAGCCTCCCCCGGGGGAGGGGGTTTCTTTTCTTTTTCCCCTTATTTCCCGTTTCCATTGAGGAACGTTTCCCCTGGCCGTTGCCATCGTTACGGTAGGTCCCCAACGCATTATCTTTCGGCAGTTTTATTTTCTTGGTCCATTGGGTTTTTTCTTTCCGTTTTTGGGCGCGTTCCACGTTTCCGGAAATATTGGCTTGGCTTGTCACACACGATCGATGGAGAACCCGAAATGTCGGGTAAAGTCGGTCGTGACCCGAATGCGCGATGACGGTATTGAAAGTACTTGCACTCGTACGAGTACATGCTCTCCAACGGCAGCCCGGCTTCTCCTATTTTATGTGATATCGATTAGATTTGCCGCACGATTTTTTTCTCGTTGCACAGTGCTTGTGCCTCATTCCTCAGATCCGTGTGATTCGGGACGTGCTGGTTGAGCCAGAGTTCTCATGAATTACTGCGGGCGCCACCCCACTGTTTACGCCTAAATGGCGAACGAGCCAATGGGTTCCTTGGGGGGGGGGGCATACGGTAAAGGAGGGGTACTTGTACTGTAAAATACGGCACCGTACTGTGCTGTGCTGTACTGGTGCACAGTACCGCCATCCGCTAACTTAGATTCTGTGGTGCTGTATGGTGCTATGCGCCGCTTCTTGCCGCCAGGGGCTGACTATCTCCCTTTTCCCTTTCCTTTCCCTTTCCCTTTCCCTTCCCCTTTTCCTTTTTCCGTTTTCCCTCTTTCTCTTCGTTGCTACGGATGGGCGGACGGCGAAAGAAGACGTGGCATATACCGGTAAGAAATGGCACACGCGTTGCATGATAACGTGTTGCAGACGGATATCTGTCCTTGATGTCTTGTCTCTCTTTTGTCGTTCTTTTTCTCCCTTGCATTTTGTTTCTATACCGGTATTCGTCAATCTTGCCAACCCCCACCATCAGTAACCATGGGCGCCGCCACCCAGACACATTACCACATCAACCATGCGCTTAGCTCTACACCCACAACCGATCCCGAGAGCCTCTACAAGTGGTGGCACGAATCGGGTACAAGGAATCACTATTGTTACAAACTTGCTGGGCTAGGTGAGGTATGGGTATCGTATCCTATGCATTCAATGGCCTTGCCTCCCCCTCTCCTATCTGCTTCCTTTCTTTCAGCTGGATTCTCCCCCTTGGTCCCTGAATGCCAGAGTGAGTGGCATTGTGCAAACGATGATATTGTTGTGCTTGTGTGGGGTCTTTATCGACAGATGAGGGGCCGGTATGAGATGGAGGATGAGGGGAAGACCGCGGATGGGGTTGGGCAGGGATGGGAACCCATGCTCACATGGCGGATTAGACGGGGAGAAGGGGTTTTCATTTTTGTTAGCGGCAAATGCTCCCGATGGGAAGGGGTCTACTTTTAGTTCACTCTTTCTTTCCTCGTTTTCCGTCAGCACCTACAAATCCTAACTGTGGATGCGGTACGTCGCCAGATGCTTCAGCACCTATCAGATCCGCATCCACATTCCTACCAAAACCCCACCACTATTGCATCTGCTCGAGTACATTTCGACTTTTTTTCTTTTTTCTTTTGCCTTTTAATATTCCAGGGTCCTTGCACAATCCAGAAGAAAAAGAAAGTCTTCCCCCAATTAGGGGGATGGTCTAAGAAGAGAAGACAAGTGAGTGCGGAGGGAAGGATGGGGAAAAGTGAACTAGAGCTAGTAGCCACACAATGCACATCGCGCGCACGCCTAAACTCTCACACATACCCTCCTGGTAAAGCCTCTCCTCACGCGAACTGTTTGCCACAAAATTATTATCCGCGACCCCGAATTGGAGGCGGAAACAAGAGAAAAACGGGAGGAGAAGCAGCCGGAGAGGGATTGTGGTAAGAGAATTCCCTTGTTTGCCGCAATCGAATTGGTTACCCCTTTAGGGCTCCGGCTCGCCAGTTGGCGGGTGCTTCTATCATACAAACACAGCATAGTACATGACTTACGGTCCAACGGTGTATTTCCCGGCACACATATCAAATAGTTAATCCTTCCACTTACAGTATATCTCAACGCATTGCGGATTGTGGATTGTTTCCTCTGGAGAGAAAGTTCCCTACAAGCCTGTCCCGGTTTTTCTCTTTACTTTTCTTCGCTCTGGTCTCCACTCTCTGCGAGATATCTAGGGTTTTTTTTCCTTCTCTTCCCCTCTTCCCCCGGGCCCTTGCTCCCAATATCTATCGAGCACTGTCTATCAGATCAGTCTCCTTTTTCATGTCTCGCCCCAAAAGGGTAATGTAGAGAGCAATTGCTTATGATATGATGCCTACGCGTCAGGCTCCTTCGGCCATCGTGATTGCTTGCGCATTCCCACATATCAAGTCTCAATGAACCTCTGGTATCACCTGATGGCTGCAAGGCCGTACCTCCACTCCCCCTCCAGTGCCCCTCTTCCCCGCCTCTTCCGCCCATCTTTCATAACCCCCAATCCCTACTCTCATCCCCAGTCACTACTATCCATTCCGCCTCCCCACCCCTATCGTTCTTTCATCACTTTCCACTCCCCGGCCCCCTCTTTCTGCCCCCCTTCCCTCCTCTCCTTTTGCTTTGGTTTCACAACTAACCGGGTTGAAGAAATCACAGATTGGCGGGCTGTTTGGACACGAATACGTCCGTACCACACCCACGTTCTCTTCATCCCTCCTAGTTTTTATCCTTACAGCCTTGTGCTGTGCCCTCGCTTTTTATCCCCTAGAGCTTGACGAATACCACCATCAAGTTTAATCGTGTGTCCAGCCTTCACCGGTACCCCTGGGTAATCAGTACTAGTAGAGTGAAAAAGGTGAGATAGTGGTAGAGTAAGGGGGGTACTTGGGCCCTCCCAGCACTGTGAGAATCCTTTAATAGGGCGGGCCAGCCAACCCTTGTCGGGCAATCGTTGCTAATGGCTCGTTCACTGTCAAGGCTTCTGTGTGAACCTCAATTGATACGGTATTTTTGTCCCTTCCTATTGCTGCTCCCTTTTATTGTTCGTGCAAAATCATAGATCGGGTGGAGTTTCCAACCGGATACCTACAATAGGGAATTTACTCGTTTGGTACTGACTGTCTTTGGTGCACTGAAGATCTTATCGGTGTAGCACCACGATTCGATACGAATTTCACCCCGCTGGGCTTCTCGTCCAATTGCCCCACTGTTGTTCTCGTATTGCTTGGGCTATCTAGCTATTATTCGCTACCCCGGTTAGGTTTTTCGACAAGTCCCTGGAATCCCAAACCAGCTCCCCTGCCCCCTCGCCCTACCGGAGCTCGAGGGATTTCATCAAACCTTATCCTGAAAAAGGCTGCCTAAGGATCAAATTTCCTAGGAAGCGGCCAGCCCGCATTAGCGGTCTTTTCCCCCTCCCTCGCCTGCCGCACGCCCCGTAGCGGAGTCACTCCCCCACCCACACATCCACAACTCCATTCAATTTCCGGGCTTGCAATGGATAACAGCAGATCTGATTTGGATTCTTTCTGCTGCCTCCAGAATGGAAGTAATAATTTGTCGTTTGCTCAGCATCTATCGTCTTTGCCCAATACAGAAGCTATATCCTCGCTGCCAATCACTCCTCCTGCTACTGACGCTGGCCCAGAGGATGAAGAGGTCCTCTCCATTGCCGTTAGAGTACTGTCCACTGAGGCCATGGCTTTATCGTCTCTCTCGCGGCTGTACGAAACTAACCAGGTAGCCCGGAATGGGTTTGTGAGAGCCGTAGAGGCAATCTCTGTAGCGGCTGTCGGGGGAGGAAAGACCGTCATCATCGGCGTGGGAAAGAGCGGCAAGATCGGGGAGAAGATGGTTGCAACAATGAATTCTCTGGGATTACTATCGGTTTTCATGCACCCTATTGAGGCTCTGCACGGTGACCTGGGAATGATTAAGCCGGTAAGCAAGCATTTATTAACCCCGATTTCCCCCACTTGCACGGTAGGGATGGTTGGTTGTCGCCATTGATTAGTTACTGTATTTTTCATTTTTTCCTTTTCTTTTCTTTTTCACCGCTTCCCTGCCCTTTCCTTGGGGCTTCCACATGTTTTCCTTCTTTGGTTTTATGGCTTTTCCTGTTGGGTTTGAAATCAGACTAGTTTCCCCACTTTTTGCTTTGCTTGGTAACACCGCACTTTGCGCCCGAGCCGACCGGCGTTCCCACTCCGTCGGTCGCAGGGTAAGGCTAGCAAACATTGCTGGTCCACCGGATCTCACTGCATATTGTGGCGGGAATCAGAGAGCTTTACTAATTGTTGCTTTATCTATAGAAAGACGTCCTGCTTCTGATCACCTTTTCCGGAAACACTCCCGAACTGATATCGCTACTGCCACACCTTCCAGGGCATCTGCCACTGATCGTGTTGACGTCGCATACCTCGTACCACACCTCTCCATTGACACGAGAGCACAAGAAAGCTATCTTACTCCCCGCTCCCGTACACGAGGCGGAAGAGACTAGCTTTGGCATCTCGGCACCCACTACCTCCACGACTGTCGCGCTGGCGGTTGGAGATGCCCTAGCAGTGGTATCAGCGAGGTATGTGTACACCGGCGAGGGGGAGAAGCCCAAAGACGTGTTTAGGCGGAATCACCCGGGTGGAGCCATTGGATTGGGAGCCGGAAAAGGTGTGGTGAGAATGTCAGATATAGCAGTGAATCTGGAAGATATCCCGGTAGTAGATGGAATTCTCGAAGATGGGCGGCTAGACTCGCCGCCAATCTCGTCCGCTAGTTCAGAGTCCGACATGGAGATTACCGAATGGACTGGGACTGATACCCCGCTTCCGGCGGCCCGTGCTGTGAGGGTTATTGACTGCTTGCTCGCTGGTGTGGGGTCCAAGACCGGCTGGGTAAGGGTTTCGAAAGATGAGGTGGTCCCGCCGAGGAGGTTGAAGTCTGTCCGGGGTAACGTCCAAAGGGGCGTGTATGGATTTGAGCCACCCCTTGTGGTTAATAGGTCAGGAATGATATGCGTGTCCGGTCAGGCAAACGCAGAAGATGTGAAGAAGTGGGTGATAACATCGCGGGGGGAAGGGAATGGAGAATTTCCTGCGGGGACAGTACTGGGTGTTTGTGTGGGGGATGCTGGTAAAGGAGAAGAAGTTACTGCTGTTATTGAGGTTGATGAGCTTATGAGGGTTTGAATGGAGCACGCTGCCTGCTTACTTGTCCTGCCTTCCTTTCTTTCGTTTTGCCTGTGCCGGGGCTATCATGAATCAAGTTTGTTTGGCTATCGTTACCACTCGCTTAGTGCATTACAATTACTATTCTACTCCTTTTTCCTCTTTTCTTCTTTTTTCTTTTATCTCTATTATTGTTGAAGCGGGTTCCCTTTTCCCTTCTGCAATTCTTGGGGTACCTATTTTGCGCGGGCGGCTCCTTTTCATTGCTTTAGTTAGGTCTGGGGGGAGTTTTTTATCTATTTATTTAGTTTTTTCCAGCGAGCTCGTTGCGGTCTATACCGGGCGGGATTTGGTGGGTAGTGGTATGGAAAACTAGGCGAGGGGGTGAAAAGGGTGTGTGTGGAAGGAAGGGACACGACACATAGCATAACCTGGGGGCCGTATTGGAAGTATGACAAATGGAATAATTTATCTGTTCGGTTTGATACTTAGTCCGTAGTACTAGCCGGTACACAGCCCCTGCACACGAAAATTGGGAATAAGGGGGGATGGGATGGTACAGGAGACGGAGAGTGACGAAATGACCAGATAAACCAACATGAATGACTGGGCAAAGCCGGGACCAGTAGTCGCACAACCGCAACCTAGGCACATGGATACTGTACTCGTACACTACAACAGTACCGGTGCCGGCAGTGGGTCTCATGAGATTTTACGGTACTGTACCCACACCCTACCAAGGCGATTGCGACGGGGAACGTCTTGATATTTGGCCTTTAATTTAATGAAAGAAGTATGCCTACGTTCGATTCCTGTGCATAGCATCGTTTTTACCATTATCAACCCATACTTGTTAGAGCACATCATAATAGCGCAGCCTAGTATGACAGGGTTTCAGGATCGATACTTAGAGAGGTGTTCAACATCCCTGGCCGCAGGGTGGCTTGCACGCAAGTGTTATATAATACCAAACACATCGTAGTTCTCAACACCGAAACGGACCGATTCGGCTACCCGCGACCGATTAGGGGAAAAAGAGGTTGAACGGAGGTCACACACTTCCCCTCCACAACTTCTGGAACCACAGTTTGTCGTTTCTCCTATTCGCCCTACCGGTACCTCGAATTTTATTGAATTGTGATCCGAAAAGTGAATGGAGACTGTTATTTGCATAATTTTTTGATTACAGATTCTCTTTCTCCCCGTTTTTTATCATCCTGGTATCATGCAGAGGCGGTACCCATCGCTATTGCCTTGGTTCACACTGCAGGTATCCGGAGTCTCTTGGCTTGTACCATAGTCCCTTTCGCCTCTCCTGGACGGTCCAGGTGTTGATCTGGTCGTGGTTATTTTGGGAGATTTTCTGACCCAGCAGGCGGGGTGTGGGGTTCGCGACTCCGGGGGGGGGTTTCTTTTGGCCGGTGCTGATATGGGTAGTATAACGGCGAGCGAGTTAGGGATGGTGTTTGAAGAGAATTTCCTGGAAGTGGGGGTTGCGATTGGGGATTTTAAGTTCATAAATTTATGGTTAGAGAGACTTAAAGTTTGAGGTTACAAACTGGAATTCGGGAAACTATAATATATCATATGAGCCTGTACCAATTAAAACGTTACTCTCGGACCTCAACCACAAAAAATATATTTTTGCATTTCCAACTAGCTAGGAAGATTAAGTATGTCTTCAGTAGCTCAGAAAATATTTCTTGTCCTCCAATGACCTCTATGCATCTTTTATTTGCAAAAAACTCAAAATTTGTAAAATCCACTTTTTGGTATCATAAATAGCCATTTCTTCTTAGCTATCTAGAGAACAAATAATAATAGCTGATTCTTAAATATTTGTTCTGTTATTTAAATTTAAAGTGTCTAGATTTACTGCTTTCTACAGGAAATGCTAACACAAAAGTGGCTCTATCTCAAAATATTTTTCTTAGGGTTGTTGTTGTTACAACACCTTTTTCCACTTTCAAGAAAAAATACCAAGGGTTACGTTTTAATTGGTACAGTCTCATACCATAGGGGGGAAGAAATCTGGTTATATATCTATCTAGGGCAAAGCAAGAAATTTCCAAACACTATCCACTATCCCCAACTAGCTCAACAGACAATCCCCTGGTCCGATATTTTTCCCACCGGCATGGTGGTTCCGGTTATGTTAGGCGGTTGGATAATAACCTGTCCGGCGGACCAAAGCAAAAGCTACAATGGACTCCATACTCGAACCCCCTTGTGCACCTCCGGGTGCGAATAAACCTCCCTCTCCACGACCCACCTCGTGCAGATTCTGAAAGTGTCAGGGATCGGGTGTTTGCAATGAATACAGAAGAGATGGGAAAAATAGCATGAAAATCAGATAGTACTACTGTGAATGCACTGTACAGCACATGTAATTTATCAAAATTTAGGAATATATAGTGTGACCCTATCACAATGTTTTTGATTTTTCTCCATGCTCCCTAGGAACGGACCGGCCGGCAGAGAGTAGCTTCACCTATTAGGTCTCGTCGGCAGACATCTGCGAGTATCTACGAGCACCCCGAGTTATACCGATTAGGGAAAATATCTACTGGCCACTTGGAATACTGAGGGTTTGTGTGTTCCCGAAACCACTTTTGGTGGAGTTGTACTTGGGAAGCGCGGTTGCGGGGTCGCGCCCTCGGGGCGGCTGATATTCCACCGGACCGGTCAATAACATGAGAAAATCCTTCGGTATCAGCTTCATATTGATACCACTGATCGGTACTTTCCGAATCTCGGGAAATCCTGCACTTTCGTCTGCGGGGGATGATGTCTGTTCCGGTTGATGTTTCCAATCATGGGGTCTTAGGAATTAGGTATTTGCGCCATCACTCGTTCCCCTCTGGCTGCAAATTCTAAAGTAAGCTAAACATCCTCATCCCTCAAACCCTCCTCATCAAGTGAAATGAGAGGAAAAGAGACTCTAATATTTGGTTTGCGGACGGTGAAACTTTAGAAAAAGCATTGCATTATCGATCGGACCTGATATTGTTGTGGTTAAATGACCGGTCGTAAATAATACCAAAGGGGAAATTTGGGAGTTCAACTCCCGTCCTTGTCGTGGGTGTAGGAGACACTAAAAAAAAAAGAAGGAAAGAGAAAAAGAATAATCTCTGGTGAACCACATATCCTATCGCCTCGGTATTATAATCCCCCCTACGACTATCGAACTCATTCCTACAGTTGCTTTTTTTTTCTTCCATTTCCCTCTCGGGGAAGTTTGAGACCATGGGAGATGCATGTAGGGGCTTTCACAGATATTGTGAATCAAGATATTCTGTGCCTATTGGACATTTGCAGAGACGGGAGTGTACCGTAAAAACCGAAATAATTGGGAATAGCGCTAGGACGTCCAGGACTCCCCCCCCCCCCCGCGGATTAGGGGGGGAAATAGTGCGAAAAGATTATCTTTCCGCCCTCAGCTGAGACAAATAAAAAGAAAAGATACAACGGATCTTACTAGGAGAGGGAACTCCAACGTCCTAGAGAGATTCCCAATTATTTCGGTTTTTACGATATTCTGCTAGGATACATAGCCATTGGTGAAGGGGGGAATCCTTTAGAAGTTCCGATGGGTCGACCTGGTTATGATGAACGGACATGACACTAGGCAACCCAACCTAAAGAAACCATAACTCGGGTTAACCAAATGAACCCGCTGGGTCCACACGCAAAACGAACGATGGGAGATATTGGGGTATTAATGAGAGTTAGGTGAATGATAACCTGTTATATGAGTGCCCTGATGGAAATGAGAGTGCTGGGGATTAATGCGACTCAAGTGCTAACTCGGGGATGAGTGGAGGAAATTCGTCCACAACTTCGCCCTATATACCTTCTATTTCTTAACCTTCTAGTTTCGCCTACTGCCCCCCAGAGTCTTTCGGATTGGTTATGGGGCCTGCTTCACAAGTTTTAATCTGAATTCCCGCCCCCCCATGGATAGAACTAACAACTCTTGCATAAGATGCCGCATCTTTTGCACTGCTACCTAAAGTGCTTTTGCGAACATCCTGTATACTGCCGGTATCTACCGAGCATATCATTGAATATTCAGCAATTATATATACTCACTATTCTTTGGATTCAACACTTATAGGATATCTACTATATAACTAACTTGCCCTCAGGAGACTCCGGTGGCCTCACACCCATGCCGGCGGTGAGATCAGATATTTTCTCCTTTTCCGGTTTCCTACTCGGTGCGAATTTTGGAGTCATAAAAGCGGGTGCTTTAATTAGTGTACGGTGTACGGTGAACTTCTGGATAATCGGGGTTTGGGTCGGTAATCACGATTAGATTGGCAAAGGTGTAAACTGGGATAAATAAATTACACTGAAGTAAAGCTGAAACTCCGGAAGCGAGTGAAGGGAATGGGGGGCGGACTCGATAGGACACCGCTGATATCAGAGGTGGAGCTCACAGCTGTGGTTAATTGGGGAGTTTGATGGTGTATATCAAATTACCTAACCCTGTTCGTTCGTCCTGGGATTGTGGACAGGGCAGATACTCGAGAAGTTATCGGTAATTTGAAAATGAAGGAAAGTTGGAGTTCTCTAGTGCTAGGTGGAGCGGGGTTTGTTGTGGAACCTTTGTCAAATATTCAACTTCGGAACGGTAGAGAACGAGTGGTGGCCCGAGACCGCCAAAAGTGCGGAGGTTGTTGGTAGTGTCTTGCATAAGATCTCTTGATGTGGGCTAGGGTGAATATATTTGATTGACTTGATGCAGGTAATTTTCCAGCACATTCCTGTTCCTCTAGAAAATAGTGTTTTCCGGCTCCACGGGCTCAGACATAATCTGTTATCCTGGCTTGAAGCCGGCCACAATCCGGTGTAAACTAGGATAATAGGTTCTGGAAGTGGGCTCACTGCCTGGGTGGACCTCAATTAAATGGGGCTGGCCGGGCCCACTGGGAACGCTGGACCCCCGACTGTGATTCCCATGGTGACCGAAACTATGATATCCCAGAGAGATATTTCAAGCCGGAAAATCGGCTAGGAGGGTTTGTCGGGTTCGTTGGGTAGCCTAACCCGACCTATATTAGAGGGTCTTCGGGATGGGCGGAGGTGTGGAGTTGGCTTACCTCCTCTACCTGATGCCGTTAGGGTGCGAAAACCGGCTCTGTGCAGCCCCCCGGCAGCTAGCCACAAATTAATTATATTGAATCTAAGGAAGGGGAATCCACGACCCAACCCAACGAGCTCGACCTGCAGATGGCTCGCTCCGCCGTGGAATACACTCGCACTCCGCTATCCCTCGATCACACTGGACCAGATACCCCGCTGAACTGTACAGTACAAAACCTCCGGCTCCTCTAAGTTCTCATAGAATTTCACCTGCTGAACTGGAAAAGGAGGCTCCAGGGTTCGTATGGAATTTCGGGAAACCTTACTACCCCCTGTTCCTCTATACAAAGTGTAACCGCCAACCGGATGCTGTGCTCGCTTCAATAAAAACTATACCGGGAGAAAGAAAAAACAAG